AAAAAAAAAAAAAAAAGAAGACCTCAAATCAATAGGCTATCTCACCAACTCTAGGAACCACAGAGAAAGAAGCTAAGCATAAATCCACAGAAAAAGCAAATAACAAAGATCAAAATAGAAATGAAATAAAAAACAAAATTTCAGTAAGACCAGAAGTTGATTCTTAGAAAAGATCACCAACACTGACAAAATTTTGGATAAGCTAACAACAAAAAGGTGAGACAAATATGCAAATAAGAGACAATATGCAAATACCCAAAAGAACAAATAAAAGAGAGGGTATTAAAATGACAGATCATTATGAACTGTATTGCAACAAATGGATAACCTAGATGAAATAGATAAATTTTTAGAAGCATACAATTGATCTAAACAAAAAGAAAGTATCAATAAAACCCTAGTAAATGAAGATACCACATCAGTAACAAAAAATCTCCCCCCCAAATAAAGTTCTGAACAAAGTGGCTTCAATGGGGAATTCTACCAAACATTTAAAGAAGAATTTACATCAATCATATTTACACTCTGAACAGATAAGGAAGGACTACTAGCTAACTCATTCTACAAAGCAAACATAATCCTGATAACAAAATTAGACACCACATGAGAACTACAGGTCAGATATCTTTTATAAATACAAACTTCCTCAGCAAAATACTAGCGAACAAAATCCAACAGCACACAACAGGAGCTATGCACTGTGACTATGTGGGATCTATCCCAGGACTGCAGTGATGACTCTACATTAGGCAACAATCAATGGGAGACATCACGTCAACAGAGCGAAGAACAGCATGCTCACTCCTATGGATACAGAGAAAGCGTACCTTCAATACTCCTTCTTCATCGAAACCTTAAAGACGGCAGGAATAGAAGGGGACTCCCTCCCTCAGCGATTCAAGGCTTGTACGAAAAGCCGACAGTCAAAATGGAGAAAGATTGAGTAATGTATCCTTTGAATTAGGAACGACAAGAGTGCCCACTGTGAACACTTTTATTCAATACTATATTAGAAGTCCTAATCAGAGAAATAATACAAGAAAAAGGTATAAACGGTATCCAGATAAGGAAAGAGGAAGTAAAATCATCTCTAGACACAGAAATGTAATCATATATGAGAACTACATTAAGAATTAGCAAAAAAAGGAGAAAAAGTTCAGAGCAAATAGTGGTATTTAACATAGCTGTAGAGGACAAAATCAACAAACAAAAATCAATTGTGTTTCCATACATCAAAAATGAGAAAACTGAAAGGGAAATTAGGGGATTCTCATCGATAATAACATTTAAGAAAAAAAAATACCTAGGAATAAATCTAACCAAAAGACTTACATGATGAAAAATATAATACATTGTTGAATGAGATTAAAGACTTAAATAAATGAAAAAAAAGTATTAATACATGAAATGCCAAGACCCTTTAACATGTTATCTCTTAAAGTATTATTAGTCAAGATTCACAATAGGAATCAGAAGACAAAATATTAAAATAAAAAATGATTGGTATCAGCCTATACAAGGCATTTTATTAATCTGTATAGAGCCAGATTAAGAAGCACCACTGTAAGTAACAACACACTAACATTTCAATCAGTGCTTTTTTTAAGATTGCTGGAGCCAAACTGTTGCTCCAAATAAACAACTGCAAGAGATATACACACATGCCAGGTACTCTTAAGTACTGTAACCCAGAGTGGTGCTCACACTCCTATTCAATACTGTGCTGGAAGCATTGGCCATAGCTATAAAGCAAGAAAGGGAAATTAAAGACATCCAAAAGGGTAAAGCTCTCTCCAGCTGCAGTAGATAAGATCATATGAAAAAGAAAAATCCCAAAGATTTGGCAAGAAAATTTTCAGAACAAATTGAAAGATCCAGTAAAGTGGCAAGGTACAAAACCAATGAAAAAATGAGTGCGAGTGCAACCCCAGCCCATATTCTGACATCATTCTGTCATGCAATGAAAAGGCGAATTAGCAACTTCACATGCAAGTGAGAGTTGGATGCGAATAGGAAGACTGGTGCTGGGGAAGCACCATGAAAGCACCATGGACTGCCAGCACAGTACATAAACCTGTCTCGGAGGAATGCGGCCAGAACGCTCCTTAGAAGGGAACACTGTGAGACTTCATCTCACATACTTTGGACATGTTATCTATAGAGATCAGTCCCTAGGGAAAAACCGCTTGCTTGGTAAAGTAGAGAGTCAGTAAAAAGAGGAACGCTCTCAACAAGATGGCACGACACAGTGGCTGCAACAAGGAGCTCAGACATGACAACTGTGAGGGTGGCAGATGTCACAGAATGGTGAGGGCTCTCGGCTCGCTGTGAGCCAGAACCTGCCTGACAGCATCTAACAACGAAATCTAAATACACAGTGAGTCAAACAAGACAGTACATGAAAAATTAAGGAAATATTTTGAGATAATGAAGAGGAAAACACAAAATAACATTTACACGAAAAAATTAAAAGTGCTTACAGAAAGAAATTTTACCTGTGAACATATAAGACTTAAGATCTCATCAAGAACCTAACCTTCCACCTTAAGACGCTGGAAAAGCTAGCACTCACTATGCCTAAAACAAGCAGCAGGAAGAGAAGACTCAAATTACTAAAAATCAAGAATGAGAGGACATCATTATCACATTGACATACGTAAAAAGGACTATTAGGGAATATTATGAATAATGTATGCTAGGGGTGTCAAACTGGCGGCCCATAGGCCGCATGAGGCCCCACGGTAATTTTTCGTGACCCGCAAAGCTCTGAAATAAAATGAAAATAGAAAAAAATTGTTATGAAGAAAATAGTGCTTAGGGGAGATCGAGGCGATACCGTACAAACAGTTCCCTCGTTAACCCTTTAACTACTGAAGACGAGTGTACACGTGGCCCAGTGCCTTTCCTGGGGGCCTGTGGACGTGTGTAAACGCATGGACTCAGTTCCCGTCGGACATTTAGAAGCGATCTGTCTGCCACTCTCAGTGTCACGTAGTGCAAACAGATCCCAATAGTGAGAAGGTTAGAAAGAGCACTCTGGTTGTGCTGTTAGGAATCACATCTAGCAGCAGCACCGCTAGTTAACATTTTAGAGGGAAGCCATTATGATTGTGCATCACGTTTGTCAGCTGTCCAGCATTTTGTGTTTTTTAGTGTTTACTTTGTTATAATTTCCGGTGACACCTAAGAGGTAAGTGAAAACTAGTAGGAGGAAAGCGCTGGCAAGTTTCAGGTAAAAAAGAACAATTTTAGTTTTATAAATACATTAAATAAATGTTTAAATAAAAGCAATTACATAGTGTTTTAATTATCCTTTCCGTATTCCTGAATCCTCACTTCAAAATATAAATTTAACAAAATTTCTAAATGTGATGTGGCCCGCGTGAATCTTGCCTGTTAACACCAAAGGGCCTGCATTTTAATTGAGTTTGACGCCCCTGATGTGTGCCAACAAATTCATTAACTTAAGTGAAATAGAAAAATCTCTAGAAAGACATAAACTTTAACTGACTCAAAGTGAAACGGACAGTCTGAAACATCTCATTACAAATAAGGAGATTGAATCAGTAATTTTAAAACTTCACACACACAAAAAGCCAGGCTTATATGGTTTAACACTGGATTCTATCATAATGTTCAAAGAATTAATACAATGCTTTATGAACTCTTTCCAAAAAACAGGAGAAAGGAGACTTCCTAACTCATTCAAAAACTAACAAACAAACAAACAGAAGTTCTCCAACACTAAAACCAAATAAGGGCACCACAAGAAACTGCAGCCCATTTATGAATACAGGTGCAAGTCCCTGACCCCAGAGCAGTACATACACAAAGCCCAACAATATATCAAGATGAATTGTAAACCATGGCCAAGTAGAATTTACCTCAGGAATAAACATTCTTATTTGAAAAATCAAGCGTCATTCTCTGAATTTCTGGAGTGTATTTGTTCATCATTACGTCCTCATTCACGTGTCAGTAACATACGTACATGATTCTTATTATGAACCGCACATACACTCCGCCTCCCCCCCCACTCCTGTAAACCATGTCATTTTCTTCATGTCAGTTTAATCTGGCACTATTTGTTTACTTCTTCTCTAATATAATTCCAATGCTGAGGAATAACTTGACACCATAATTGGTTTTCCTTTAATTAATGGCAACAACAACATAAATTCTTTGGGTTTTTTTTTTTTTCATAAATTCTTAAAACGTCTATATTAATTCTTCAATTGCAAGGCACTACTCACCTGAGTTCTTCAGGTTTTGCTATGTTTGCTGAAAAAAGAAAATCCTCCATTAGTCTCATCTTACACGGTTAAGATGCTTCACTGTCTATCAAGATAAAATGCTGATTAATAAGCTATATGTCTCAGCCATGTATTTAAATGCCCTTATCTCATAAGTCATCTAGTGTCCGTTCCATTAAGTCAGTGACAATAAGTATTTCCCTTTTTATAAATACAGCAATACAAATAAATACATGTTTCCTGTTTAATACACATCCTTCTGCAAGCCTCACAGTGACCAGAGTGAGTCTGAACCACCATGAGTGGCAAGTAAGGGTTAACTTGGAGCTTGACAACAACCATAACTAGATATGTTTTCATTAACTGCTATTTTATTGAGGATTCCCTGAGTAGCACGATGGGGAAAAGATGAGGCTTTCTTCTCCGGTGAAGATTCCGTCTCAGTAATCCAGAGGGGGAAGTGCAACTCTGTCCTCTAGGGTCTAGGAGTAAGAATTGATTCGGTGGCAGTCAGTGGCAGACAAGAGTTGCACTCCAAAACTAGCAAAAACGCTGGTGGTTCAAACCAACCTAGCAGCGCCCCAGAAAACAAGTCTAGTTTCCAAAAGCAGCCTTAAAAATTTAAGAAACATTTGAGAATGATAAGGGCAACAACTGTGCATATGTGCTTGACACAATGGATGTACGTATGGATTGTGATGAGAATTGTACGAGCCCCCAATAAAATAATTGAAAAAAACAAAGCATGCACTTGGCATATGACCTAACAATCCTACTTCTGTATGCAGATGCTTATAGCCACTATATATTAATTTCCAAAACTGTAAATCAACTGACTGATCCTTACTTAATGAAGGCATACACAAACCACAATGCTTCAATGAAGTAAAATAAAATGAATGACAAAAAAAAAAAATTTAAGAAACAGCACAGAAGTCACATGTACCCTCCTCTAATTCATTTCAGTAGGAAAGGGAAGAGACCAACTCCACACCAGCCCAAGATGAACTGCCACAAGATCAAGGTCAGACATGCCTCCACCCTTCATCCTTCCCCGACACTCTACTTCTCTGCTGGGTATAATGATTCACTGCAATGGCCACGCAGCGCACAGACATAACCCATGGTGAGGTTTATTAGGGAAGCACCGGGGTTACACAGAATGCTGAGGATACTGTTCCTTTGCTAGCAGCTACGTGGTCCTTTGACCTCTGCCTCAGTCCAGGGTCAGGCAGCTTGACCCAACACTGCCTCGGGGTTGTTCCTCCGGCTATGCCTCGTGCTCGCTAGGCTAGTCTCTGGTCCCTCTGCTGCAGGATCTCTTTCTTGACAGTCTCAGGATCGCTCTTTATCTGCTTCCAAGATGGCCCTCACTGCCATGACTCAATTCCGACTCATAGCATCCTTTTAGAACTGCCTGGTGGGTTACCAAGACTGTAACTCTACAGGAGCAGAAAGCCTTGTCTTTCTCCCGTGGAGCAGTCAGGAATGGAATGCATCCTTTGAACCACAAGATCCCTACGATAAACCCCCTCGATCTAGGAGACAGGAACCTGTGAGACCAGACAAGTGCCAGAGAAGGAAGAGCAGCAGAGTCTGAGAGAGAGCTGGGGCTTCCTGGCCCACCCAGCATGGAAGCTGACTATCTCTCAGCACAGGCTCGTTGTCAGTTAAGACACTTAATGCGGAGGGGGGGAAGGAGGCTAAATCTGCCAATGCATGAAGCTAAAGCTGGGTACCTTTGGGCTGAGAATTACTGGCAAGAGTCGGTGCTCAATTGGCAAAGTGAGTTGCTCAAGCAGGGCAGAGGCTTAGGGACCCCATAGCTGAGAGACTAAGGATCAGAGAGAGATATACCTGGAAAGGAACTGTATCCCAAACATTTCTGATCATCCACCGTACCCTGTTAACTTCCTTCATAAACTCCATAATCGTTAGTCTGAAGGGACTTCAAAATGCTAGCTGGCAAAATTCCATTGACTTTTAATTCTATTTTTCCATCAACTCTTTTAAGCCCTCTATAGTGTCTATGAGTTCTGTGTGTCCAATGCAAAGAACTATCAGCCCTAATAGAGAAGTTAGGTGTGGCAGTTACATAATCTCCTGTCAACTAGCAAAGGGATGGAGTCTAGCCTGTCAGTCACGTCATAGCCAATGAGGCCTCTGAGTGGGCATGGCCTTCTCCTGAGGACTCTGGGAATGCCCATCTTCCTCCCTGGAGGCGGGACACACTCTCTGCTTCCTCTTCTTGCTGACAAGACACATGGAGCTCTGTGCTGAGGTGCTTGCACTGCCACTGGATCCACAATACTTTTCACCCACTGACCTGTGATCGTCCTGCATTCAGCATTATTGCATGGCTGTGTGAGTGTGAGGAGGAATTTATAGACTGGTATTGGACATAGGGACTAATTTCGAACTTATGGGCTTGATCTGGACTAGGCTGGGATGTTTTCTCAATATGCAGTTGCTCTTTTATGTAAAGCTCTTTCTTATACACATATTAGTCTCTCTGGATTTGTTTCCCTAGTCTACCCAGATGAACAGATGGGGAGTGCCTTGGGAAGGGGTGCCTGGTGTCAGAATCAGTAAAGAAGGTTGGAGGGTAGGTGCATGCTGACCCTGTCTTACAGGAATCATCCTTCCCCCTTGGGAAGTCAGAGGAGGTTGATGCCACCGTCACAACATTTTGGCAAGCTTAAACAGCAAGTAACATTTATGAATTGAGAAGATATTTTATTTAACACAGTCCCTATAAAATATGAAATAAATTTTACTTAATATCTAGTTCTCAAATGCCTGTTTTTTAAAATTCCAAAATGAAGGTAATTTTTAAAATATTGCCCTTTACACAAAGCCCTTTACTAAACAAGACCATCAAAATGTGAAGTTATTGTTTTTCAACATATCCGCCACGTTGGTCCATAACCTTCTGAAGGCAGAGTCCTGGTGACACAGTGGGTGAAGCACTGGGCTGCTATGAAATGGCAGTGGTTTAAATCTTCTGCAAGATAAAGATGAGGGTGTTTGCTTGACAGAAAACTGTATGGAATAGTTCTGCTCTGTGTGAGACTCAACTTGATGAAAGTGGGCTTGGCTGGGTTTTGGAACACTCTCCTGAAGAATTCTGTGCTCTTCTTTTGACACCACGTCAAACAACAGGTCCAGCATCCTCGGTGCTCACATCAGGTTCCTTTTAAATGTTGAGTCGGGGGACAAAAAGAAGTGTAAAGGGTGTTTTCGTAAACTGTTTCCTAACAAGCACGTCCTGTGTCCTTCAAGGAAATCTATCAGGATGACCCCCGCTGGAATCCAAAGTTAGTCACTGTAATCTTCAGAGCACATGTCTGTCTCTGCCTTGAATTTCACTAGTCCAAATATCCCTTTGGGAAGCTGCTGTTTCGATTGGACCTGTTTTCCTAGAAGTCATTCTAAGGAGACTATGACAGCTGCTATGAGTTGGACCCATCTCGACGGCAACTAGCAATAAGACAAGTGTTGCTGAGAGAGCCGGTCTGCAGTCATTCACTGATCAGAGTACCATGTATGAACATGCTTTGTTTGGAATACACATTTATGAAGTGGAGTCCTAGTAGCAATACCTTTTTTTTTTTTTTTGGCATTTCAGATATTTTTATTTCTTTAAATTTCTTATTAGGACTGAAAAAAAATACATAACTGAGTCCCATCACCATCATCATCATGATCTTATAGAAATGGCTTTTAGAGAAAACTAATCAGATGAATATTATTGCTTCCCATTTTCAACATGCTGCCACTGATCTAAAGAGCCGTCTGGCCGAGATGCTTGAGATATGCCTATGCACAGTTGCACACTAGGAAATAACATGTGCACTTGTTGGTTTTATCACACAAGACCAGTGCAAAGGCACCACCCAGGCCTCTGAGCACACTGGACCAGGCACCCTTGGAACCATTTTGCTTCCTTCATCACGAGCACTCTCCCAGCAGCAGTCTAGTGTGCTTGTGCACACGATGTCAGTTCTTGCGCTCGCTGGCTGTGTCATCCTGTGGTGACAAACGCTGTCAGAGGGTAGGAAGTGAACCCAGCCACGGCTGTGAGGGACTGAGCAACAGGCGTCCAGCCTACGAAGACGTGGGTATTCTTGGATGTGGAGGCAATCCCTGTGCAGTGTCGCAGAGTCTGAAGGAGGCAGCTGGAGAGATGATGATACCTGCACACAGAGCCTTAACCCCGTCAGATGTAGAGCTCTTAGCCAGGAAGGCACAGAGGCGCTGACCCTCCTCCTCCTGCTTGGTACCAGTTTTAGCCACATGAGCTGCTGGACAGGGACAGACCAATCCAGAGGGAACACAAAGCTGTGGCCCACGCAGCACCACCCAACGCCAGATGCCTCTCGATCTGCTTGTTTGTGTCTCTGACGGCAAGGTTGAGAGCCTGGCTGGGGAAGTACCGAATGCCACTGACCAGACGGAGGACTCCCTGCTCTTTGGGGAGACACCTGCTCAGTCCACAATGCCCCTGTACTGCTTATCTGCGGCAATGTCCTCGCTGGCATGCTGCACCTGTAGCTGCGGTTTGACCCTTTCGATGGATGCTGCCACTGTCTTGGAGATGGTCCCTGCTGCTCTACCTGCCGGGAAGTCGTTAGTGTAGGACACAGCGCCATCTGTCATGATGAAAGAGGCGGGGGCTGCAGCAGGTGACAGAATGTGACAGGGACCAGCTTTGACTCGGGTCTGGACTACTGCAATACTTTTTGATTTACTCTCAAATTTTGTTATGAATAGGTCTACAAAAGATCTAAGCTAATACCAAAAACAAGATAAACCCAAAACTTCAGTCTCAGAACAGTGTTGGCATTGGAATTAATATAAAGTCTAATCTCAGTTATGAACATAGTGTTTCCCCTTTTTTAAATGAAATTGATTATGCCCGCATCAAATAGAAAATGTGAGAGCTTCAGTTGACTGAAAGAGACTACAGCTGCTTAATGCTCAAGTTCAACCAGGCTTTGGAAACAGTGTTACACTTCACCTTTCATTTGTAGAGTTCTTCGAGAATACCTTTGACTGGGCCTTCTTTCAAAGGTTGTTGATCTTCTTGCTTTACTGGTCTTTGTGGTCTGATACTCGGTTTTCCCACTAAAAGAAATCAAGCACATTAAAAGGGAAAAGAGGTTTGAGGCCTACAGAACTTGACGACAGATAAACAAGAGAAAGGTTAGATTCACGCTGCCCTTGAAAGTGTCATTCTGATCTCAATTCTGATGAAACTATGAGTAATCTTCCTATCCAGCTTTTCTAGGTCATCCTCCACTAATTAGGCTCGTGTGGAGCATGAAACACAGACTATACTGTTTTTCTCAAACAGGCATGCGTGTCAATAACTGAGTATCTGAGTTTTCACGCCACTCTTCTCCCCAATCTTCACCTTCCTTTCTTTGTACACTAACACTTTCAGTGACATTTTTTCTAAGTGTTATAAGGTACCCTGATAGTGCAGTAAATAAGTGTCAGACTGCTAACCAAAGAACTGTAATACACTTTTTCCTCTTTCTTCCTGATTTCCATTTAACGTTTGTTAAAGAAATGCTGTCTCGTTTTTAATACTAGTAAAATAGACATACTCATATAAATCCTACATAATCAATTTTTTTTCTCTAAACCACACTGACTGACATCAGTGGCATGTTGAAAAATCACAGCAATAAAAGCCACTCTCCAGTAAACAAAAACATTACTAATTCATGACGAAAAACCTAGACTCCATGAAAATAATAAAATTTAAATTTACTAAGGATCACAAATACTAACCAAATTTCCACTTACTGTAGCATATCTTTTTTTTCCCTACAAAGTCTCTAGGTTTTAGACAGATAAACCACAAAGCTCTTGTCATAGCAATATAAGCTGGGGCCAGCTAGAAAATAAATATTTAAAAGGAGATAAAACCCACCATAGAATTACTTCCTCTCTACTGAGGCAAAAACAATCATTAACAGAAAATCACACTTTTTCCTTTCTATTTCTGTCAATTGAAGATTTTAGCAAACCATTTTATTTCTTCATGCCTTATCTGTTTAATAAGGAGGTGAGCTATTTTTGGCCTCTATAGAGAAAGGTATAGGAAACTGTTATGAAAATTAACCTGTATCTGAATCGGGATCCTAGTCGGATAAACCCTGATCGATGAGAACTCTTCTGGACAGGGCCCCGGAGGCGGAAGAAGGCATGATGTTCCACAGCACATTTCCATAAGTGTTTGCACGCTTTGGGGTGTTCCAGTCTGAAGACAAACGTATGCTCCTGCTCTTTGCCCTAAAAAAAGAAGGGACAGAGGTACGCATCAGACCCAGCATCCGTCCGTCAGTCATGTACAGGCCACTGCCATCGGGTTGATTGTGACATACAAGGCTATACATTGACAAAAGAACTGGCACATCTTTCTCTTGAAGAGGTTGGTGGATTTGAACTGCCTACCTATTAGTTAGAAGGTGGGGTGAACAAGCAAATGTGGTTAAGAAAGCTGATGGTGCCCGGCTATCAAAAGATATAGCATCTGGGGTCTTAAAAGCTTGAAGGTAAACAAGCGGCCATCTAGCTCAGAAGCAACAAAGACCACATGGAAGAACATACCAGCCTGTGTGATCACGAGGTGTCGAAGGGATCAGGTATAAGGCAGTATCAGAACAAAAAATCTTACCATAGTGAATGAGGGGGGGAGTACAGAGTGGAGACCCAAAGCCCATTCGTAGGCCACTGGAGATCCCCTTGCAGAGGAGTCTCGGGGAGGAGACGAGCCAGTCAGGGTGTGATGTAGCAACGATGAAAAATACAATTTTCCTCTAGTTCCTAAATGTTTCCTCCCCACTCCCACTATCATGATATGAATTCTACCATGCAAGTCTGGCTAGACCAGAGGATGTACACTGGTACAGATAGGAACTGGAAATACAGGGAACCCAGGGCGGATGATCCCTACAGGACCAGTGGTGTGAGTGGCGATACTGGGAGGGCAGAGGGAGAGTGGGTTGGAAAGAGGGAACCGATTACAAGCAACTATATGTGACCTCCTTCCTGGGGGACGGACAACAGCAAAGTGGGTGAAGGGAGATGTCGGACAGGGCAAGATATGACAAAATATTAATTTATAAATTATCGAGGGCTTATGAGGGAGGGGGGAGCGAGGAGGGAGGGGAAAAATGAGGACCTAATGCCAGGGGCTTAAGTGGAGAAGAAATGTTTTGAGAATGAGGAGGGCAACGAAGGTACAAATGTGCTTTACACAATGGATGTATGTATGGATTGTGATGAGTTGTATGAGCCTGTAATAAAATGATTAAAATTTTTTAAAAAGGTGAGGACTCTAGTCAGGGTAGCACCAGGACTCCCTCACTCTACATTACTGAGTTACAAATACAATCATAGTTAAACCAAGAATCAAATAATCAGGCAGCTAGTTTGTTTCCCTAAAATTCAGACACTCAGATTATTCCTAAGGGTTTCTCCTCTACTTAGGGGAAATGAATTCTCAAAGAGACATGGAATGCATTTTCATCCGTCATTCTTTGAGATAATGTGTAATGATAATTTCAAAGATGGCATCCGCTCTCGACACGCCTTGTCATAGCAACCTTACTCACAGAAATGAATGATCACATTAACACTCACAGGCACTTTTCTAAGGATTTCACATGAATTATGCCAAAGAGTAAGACTATTGTAAGCCTCTTTTCACAGAACAGAATTGTGAGACTTAAAGAGATTCAGCAACAACAAAGCTAGCTCTCTCGCTCACTCACTCCCATCGCGTTAAACCTCTGGAAAAGGGAAACCAGAATTGGAATCTAGTCAGTCAGACTCCAAAGCCTCCGACTCTAATAATTAAGCTGTAGTGTCTTTCTAAGAAAAGAGAATTCTACACACTCAGATTTACATGGAAAGATTTTCTTCACCGTCTTCTTTAAAATAATAAGCATGGGTACAAACCCCCAAATGCCAAAAAGAGAAATGGTTATGTAAATATCTGTATATTTTAAATGAATGAATGAATGAATGAATGACTAACACATACACGAGGATTTTGAAAAGTAGGAAATTCGTAAAAGATAGTACACATTGTCCACTAACTTTCTGAGGCCCTTCATGTGTTGCTGCTGTTAGGTGTCACTGAACTGGCTCCAGTTCCCAGTGACCCTGTGAGGGTGTAAGAGAACATAACACAGCCGGGTCTTGCTAGTCAGCTAGAAGCCTGAGCGGTGAGGTGTAAATGGCCTGTCTCAGATGGCTTCACGAGCGCCAATCCACTAATCCACCATTTCGTCAAGGAAAACTCCAGGTCTGGACAGCCCATCCCAGATTGCCTCACATTATCCATTCCAGAGTTCTTGTCCAAATAACCTATCACCAGCATGCCCCCATGTGATAAGGAGCTACTCCAGCTGTGGATTATAAGGCCAACCGTTACATCAGAGTAAGAACCAATCAGAATGCAAGAATAAGGGCCAATGGGAAGACAGGGTGGGGGCTGAGGGGAGCAAATCGGGTTCCATCACCCAATCCCTCCAAACATGTAATCAATGTCGCTAGATGGGGTCTTCCTCAAACCTCGTTACTTCATCACAGAAGTGAATGGTGCTTATTAAATCTAAGCCTGACTTACTGCTCTTCTTCTGCCCTACATGCATGGCTCCCTCTGCTGCGATGACAAACCACAGAAGAGGGAGCTGCCAGTACCGCCACAGGATAAAGCCCAGCAACACCGACCATCGCCACTTAGCAACTCACAACTGTTGCTGTGTTTGAGCCCATTCTTGCAGCTAATGTATCAATCCACCCCTCCCCATCACGCACTACTTTACCAAGTATGCTGTCTTAGTTATGTAGCCCTGTGTAGGTCTCCGCCCCCACATTCCTATGAATCCTGATGTAAGCAGAATTGACTTGAAGTGAAGAAACAATTAAAATTAATTTATATGGGAAAATGTGAACCTTCCCAACTTCCCCCACCCCCAACCACCACCACCACCACCCAAATCTACCAAATCAAACTAATTAGAACATAAAACCTACAGTCACACTAACATACACAGTTCACTAATATACAGGGTACAAAACAATGGCAGCTGGACCCACACAGCGTCTCCCCAAAAAGGATCTTGGTGGTACACGCTTGCTTTTAAGGGAGCACTGCTTAAGGCTCAACAGAAAACAAATGTCCCTACTTTATCCTAAAAGTGAACATGAGTTTCTGTTTTCTTTGTTGGCCAAAACAGGTACCAACATAGGTCTTTCCTAAAAGCAAAATGGCCTACGAGATCTTTCAGAAGGTGGGAGATAACTGTAACAATGTCTTTCACCAGTTTAGAAAGCTGTCAGTCTGAATTCAGCCTACTGGCTCTAAGGGAAGGCTTCCTTTAGGCTCTGGAGGAATATCCTGGTCCCTTCTGAACTTCTGCTCTGGAACAGTTCTCTTCCCCTGTCTCTGCAGGCCTAAAAGGCTCCTGTTATCTCCTTGAAGAGACTGAGTCATGACACACCACACACCAACCTGCCTCGCTAACATAAGATGAAATGCACTATCAAAATGGAGATCCAATTCAATCCATAACAATGCCTTTGGGCAAAGAAGAGTCCCTCCTGAGAAGTCTACAATATTATGGTGATGTCTCATCATCTCCCTTGTTAAGACCATTCTAACTGCCCTACTTTCCAATCCAGATTTGTTTTCTGGTAGTCCACAGTAATTTCACTGCTCTCAAAGGCACAATTCTGGTCTTCATTATTCCGCGCCTAGCTTTCGAATATTTACAAAGTGACGGGAAATATCATGGCTCGGGTGAAGCACACCTGAGTCCCAAAAGTGCCAACTCTGCTCCTCGACACTTTAAAGACCCCTTTGCAGGTTTTCCTGGAATAAGACATTTGTTGGGGACATCCTGCCTGCTGCTTCCGTGGGCACTGATTGTGGATAAAAGTGAAATGAAACACAGTTCAATTTTGGCTGTTTTTTATGGTTTTAATTGATCCAGTTGTGACAATGTTTGCTTTCTTTCTGCTGTGGTTTAATTCAGACCAAGGCGGACGAAGTCTTTGATCGCCACCAGTCTGTGCAGGAGTCCTCTTCACTCTCAGCAAGGCTGCGTGTTTGCACCCACACACCAGTCAATGAGTCTTCCTGAAGTTGGATGCGGGGTTCTCTATAGAGCCAAGCTCCCCGGGTTATTTCCTCAGCACGTGCACAGAGAAAGTATGGTGCAGGCTACAACCCTGATGCACGCATCTCGATTTCAAACCATGCATCCCTTGTTCCACTCAAATGACTGCCTATTGGTCTGAGTGCATTGAACACGATTCAGAGTTCTGGAATCCCATTCTTGGAAACACTGCACATAATTTATTACCCATAGAGTCAAATGCCTTGTGGTACAGTCAGTAAGTCACTAATAAGCACCGTTCTGGTACTCTGCTTTCAGCCAAGATTCCTCCGACACGAGCAATGACATTCCTCATTGTACATCCTCTTTTGAATTTGGCTTGGATATTTGACAGTTTCCTGTCAATGTACAGCACTATAACTATTTTAAAATCATCTGTAGCAAAATTGTACTTAAACGTTACATTGATGATATTGTCAGAGAATTACCATGTTCTGTTGGATTACTTACAGATCTCTTCCACTTTGTTAACCAGTTAGCTATGTTTAGAACTTCTTGGCATAGGTGAGTATTCTAGTATTACCTTCATTTATTAAAATATCTAAATTAATTTTTTTCCCCCAGAAATGCCTTCAGAGAAGCTTGGAAACTTCTTTCACTACCATCAGTTCTTGATCATAAACTACTTCTTAAAAAGGTTAAATGCTGACCAGTTATTATCGGCACTGAGCTTCTTGCATCATTTAATATTTTTGCTAATACAATCCTTCAATACCGTAACTCGGGGCTTGGAGTTTTCTCCAATTCTTCCTGTTTGAGAAATACCAAGCAATTCTTCCATTTTGGTTTTCTGATTTAAGGTCTTTGCATATTTCATTATACTCTGTTTTCTCATGCTGCCCTTTGAAATCGTTTCAGTTCTTTTAGTTGGTAATTTTTCCCTTTTGCTTTAGCTACTCTGCATTTAAGAGCAGGTATCACAGTCTCTTCTGACATCTATTTTGGCCTTTTCTGCCTGACTTACCTTTTAATAGCCTTTTGCTCTCTTCATGAATGATGTCCTAATATCATCCCCTAACTCACCTGGTGTTCAATACATGAACTCTATTCTTAAGGTCTCTAATTTCAGGTGGGACATACTGACAGTTGTACGTGGCTCTG